CTCCGCCGCGGCCTCGCCCTGCCCAGGGTCCCGCACGCCCCGAGCCCCCCAGGCAAGTCCTCGGGCTCCATAGGATCCAGCCAAACGTCTGCCCGTGGCACAAGCGCTCCCTCCGCGCGGGAACACGGGGTAACAGCACCGCAGCGGGTTTGTGTCATGGCAAGGCAGGAAAAGCGTAGAGACGGAAGCGGGCACAGACTTGTAAAGCCTTGTATTTCAACTATTATTATGGTATTTGTCTTCGAATGGCCCTGATCCCTGCACTAAGCTCTTGCGGTGCAGCAGCTCTCCCTTGAACCCCGACATCAAACCACATCCTCGGTTTCACACCTGAGCCCAGGGCCACATTTCGGGGTGGTTGCACAAGCACTAAAGGTTATAAACGAGCTGCTGCTGCGCCCGACGAAGCGGCTGACGGCGGCTGACGGACCCTTTGCTTTACAAATCTCGCACGGTGCATTTAACAGTTTGCCAGCTGTCTGCAAACAAGTAAGAGAGTAAAACTTGGGTGCGAGTGAAGACATGGGGGGTTCATTCCTCTTTAGAGCAGGGTTCCAGGCTCCAGAGGCTGAGGAACAGCAAGGCTGCCTCTTTCTCTGCAGGAAGCAAAACCCAAGCAGCAAGACTGGGAACAGCCGGCGACTCCAATGAAACGTACACACGCCTGAACAAGGTGAATTCACAAATGGAAAAATAAAAAAAAAGGCAAAAAATCCACAACCGGGATTCCAATGAAAAGAAACTGCTGTGTAAATCCCTGAGCGACCAACTCAAACAGAGGGAGGACTGCTGGTAATAACAAGAGAAGCGCCACCAGAAAAGAACTGCTTAACTGCACAGACAGTCACTTTTAAAAAAGCGCATCCCCGAGGCAGCTTTTTAAGCAAGGAAAAACCACCGAGTGGCTGTAAGGGAAGGGATGGGGGCACTGGCCTCCGCGGGGGGGGCCCAGGGTCCCCATCACCTTTATTATTAACAGAAAAAAAATAAAACAAACAACAAAAAAAAGCATGTGCCAACAAAAGTAAGAGGGTAAGAAATTCAACAAGCATCATTTGGAATTAAAATAGAATTATATAAAGTGTATTACAGTATGGTCTATCATTTTAGAAGTAATAACATATTTATAGATCTTTTATTACATAGGAATAACCTGAACGGAAGGAAGTATTTAATTCATGTACAATATAAAGAACCGACAGAGCAGAAAAAAAACACTTTCCCATTCAACAACATTCTAAAGATGCTTTTTAATTGGACATTTAAGCATTAAACATTTCTCAGTAGTAGGTTAAACTACTAAATACAGTAAGTTTCAGTGCATTGTCCAAGCAGATGTGGAAATGCAGACACATTCAAAGGGCTTTGTGGAAACCTAGCTCTGATCCCCTCAGTTCCTCCAGCACAGAGCAACCGCTGCCCGCACAGCCCTCCTGGCCTCCCTTTATTAGACCAAAACCCAGGAAATCCTCCAGCTATCGGTAACGCAACACTGGCAACCTGCCGAACTCCAAAATCAAGCCTGTGTAAATATTCTCGTGAGCAGGGGGGAATTCACCTGACCTCTAGATCCTGCGTGAAGCGAGCCCCACTCCATCCCAGCAAGGAAAGCAACCGCCGGCCTCCTCCTCCTCCCCTCCTGCCCACCGGCGCCGCTTGGGGCCGCGTCACACGGGGTGTTCACCTGAGGGTACCCGGAGTGATGCCATGGACAACAACAAAAAAAACCTCCAAGGAAACATACGCAAAGCCTATCTTAACGAGTTGCCTCTTCCCATCGTCATCTAAGGAAAAGGGAAAAAAAATATGCACAAGGTTTTAAAACGAGCTGAGAGGAGCTGTTCGACAGCCCGGCCGGCTGCGGGGAGGGGAAATCCACCTCCCATCGCCCCCGGAGGAAATCGTGGGCAGCAGAAGGGGCTGCAAAGCTGCGATGGTGCAACAGCTCCGATGGGAAACAGGGCAAAGCGGCAAGGAAAGATGTTTTACGTAAGAGAAACGCACTCGCTGCGTCTCCACGGAGCGCAGGGAGCTGCTCTCGGGACTAAATCTGGGAGAGGGAGAGACGCGCAGATGGGACTTGTCTCCCGACATACTGCTGGTATTTCCAGCAGAAGGGGCTGCAAAGCTGCGATGGTGCAACAGCTCCGATGGGAAACAGGGCAAAGCGGCAAGGAAAGATGTTTTACGTAAGAGAAACGCACTCGCTGCGTCTCCACGGAGCGCAGGGAGCTGCTCTCGGGACTAAATCTGGGAGAGGGAGAGACGCGCAGATGGGACTTGTCTCCCGACATACTGCTGGTATTTCCTACGAGCAGACTGGGACCGAAAACCACCTCGCCTGCGTCTCTGCCAGGAGAAGAATTGGCACATGGATTTGGCAGCGACGAGCTCGACAGACAGCAGGCCAGGCACGCCGCGCTGGCTAGCGGCTGCACTGTCGTGGTAACCCCGCGGAAATCAAGCTTTCTGAAACGCTGATCGTCAAGAAGAAAAGGAAAGAAAAAAAAAAAAAGGAAAATGAGTTCAAGTGCTGGTGCTTTATCTGAAATCCCTCGAAGGGAAGCGCGAGGCGAGCTGCCCCGCGCAGGAGACGGCCCCGGGCTCCCGCGCTGCCGCCTTCGGAGTCGAGGCGTGAGGAACGCCGACGCCACACAACCACCTCCCTGCGGGGCTGCGTTTGTAAAGGTTTACGGGAAAGAGCACTTATTTGGGGAAAGGGGAGAGAGCACGTCTGAAACGCACACCTCGCTCCACAGCTCCGAATCTGCACTCCAAGAGGTGACCTCTTCGAGAGATCGGTGACGTCCGTCAGAGCCGCGTTACGCCTGAGATTGTCCAACCCCGCTGCCGTAACACCGGTCTTGCCACGCAAAGAAAAGTAAATCGTCTGAGAAACTGAAGATCACATTTAGGTCATCCCACAAAATCAGCATAAAAATAAAAACTTAAACCTGGTATTTACAGATAACAAATAAAAATATGAAGTGGGACTATCCAAACTGCTATTAAAGTGACATTCAACAATTAACTGGAACCCTGATATGAGTGTAACGTCCTCCCCCTTCCCTTCCTTTTTTTTGTTATAAAAACAGTATTTACATTTGCTGTGGTTTGTTCTGTTTTGTTTGTTTGTTTGTTTTTTTAAGAGAACTGGTTGACATTATTGCTTGATCCTTTTTAGGAAAGACATTCTAATGAAGCAATTATTCCACATGCTGACAAAACACAGAATATATCATCTCAAGAGTGACAAAAGTTAACATTTTGTTCGTTTAAAAATTATATTTGTCTGCTACATCTGCAGACCACGTGTAAATATAAGCCAATCAAAAATACATTTTACAAAAAAATACTCAAGTTTCCTTTTTGCAATATGGCAGTAAACATAATCTGTTCTTTCACTCCCACCTTCCACAAGCTTCATTCTAAATAGGAGCTTACTACTTTTTCACCAAAAAAAAAAAACAAAACAAAAGAACCAAAACCAGAAGATAAATTCGATTAAAATTGTTATTTTCATAAACAAACACAAAGCCCAGCCTTACACCTGACATGGCTACCGAAAGTCAGACTTTTGAGCTGCTGAAACCCTATGTAGAAATGTAGTCTTTGTTCAACAGGGAGGGGCTTCCCCCAGCGCCCGGCGCTCCTACAGCAAATTGGAAAATTGCTCCAGACTTTGTGAAGTGCCGGCTCATCCTTCCGGGCAGCTCCAAAGTGCCCGTCCTCCCCTACGGGCAAGAGACAGCTTTGTATTTGACTATGAATTTTAAGCAGCTTTCTCCACGAAACAGGAAGGCACCATGCACATAGCGGTTGAGGCAGGAAGCAAACAGCAGCAACATGACGTGTGAATTTTAGGTTCAGATGAGTTAAGGCTTCTGTTAGACTTCATCTTCTTCTAGTTAGAATCGCTATCTGGAAGGAAAAAAAGAAGCAGCAGTTGAAGTAACGGTTTGAAATATGAACATATGTGATGCCTGATGTATGAAGTAAGGGTACGAAGGTGAAGCCAGCAGCCAGACCCCTCCCTATGTCTGCAGCCACCCCAAATTCACATCCCCGTTGCAGCGTCCTCTGGGCCTGATCGCAGTCAATTTGCCAAACGCTCCAGGGCTGCCCAGCACCCCGTTGACACAACACAACGCCAAGGCAGCCTCGGTCACTCGGCGACGGACTCGCTCTTGCTGAGTGGAAGCAGCACGACGTCGCGGCACTGACGGGCCGGGCATTGCTCAGGTATGAATAGCCGCAGAGAACAGGTGAATCACCCAGGACCCAAAAATTCACTCCTACCCAAAGCAGTCGGCCCCAGCAGCGAGTTCCCTGACCGTGCTGGGCGACGCAGGCTCAGCCCGCCACCGTGCTCACGGCCACTGGGCTGCGGCGCCCACCCACTAAGGGCATTTTCCACCTGTGCCTTCCTCAGGGCGTGCTTTGACTTGGCGGTACCTTTTCAAACCTGATTCTCATAATGGCTCTGCCTCTTCTTCGATTTCAGCTCCTTCAGCCACTGAGGAGACTTTTCTTCTGACCTAAGGCATAAAAAAAAAAGATATAATATAAAATACTCCTTATTCTTTAATTCTGAAAACTCACTCCAGAAACAAACGAAAGCAATCCACAATTTTCCCCCCAGCCTACTCGCAGTATATTTTTTCCCCACCAAATCCCACAACTGCATCTCCTCCCTGGCGCTGTCTCACCTCTCCTCCTTCTCCACGCTGGAGGGCACTGCTGCCGGCAGCTCCCGGCTGCTGCTTCGGGGCTTTGAAGAGTTGAGCAGAACTCACTTCACCAGGACTCTCCGACTCTTGTCTTTTCCGCAGTTGGGCCTAAATATAAACGCAAAGAAACGGGCTTAATTTTAAGGCAGCGTTCACAAATCACTCAGATTTATGAAAAGAAACAAAAAAAAAATCCACGCCTGCAATCGGTGAAGAGATTCCTTGGGGAGTCATAGAATCAAGAGGGTTGGAAAAGACCTCTCTGAGTCCAACCGCCCACCCAACCCCACCGTGACCACTAAACCACGTCCCCAAGCACCACGTCTGCACATTTTTTGAACACCTCCAGGGACAGGGACTCCACCACTGCCCTTATAAACCTCTGTGGTGTTGTTTGCTATCATAAAGCTATTTTTTTTTCCAAATCACTTCATCTTTCTAGCCAAGAGTTAAAAGCCAGAAAGGCAATTCTGCGTTTTTTCCACACATCGTCCCCCAACAACACCATCATCTCTAGCAACATCTCCTAACTCTGCTCCTTGAGAGCACCCACAGCTCCTGAACGGGCCTCTCTCCTGCCTGAGGAGTCCTTCCTGTGCCCACCTTGAGAACGGAGTGGTCCATCCCTGGAAACACGGGAAGTCTCTGAGCGTGTACAGAGGACGACCTCACAGTATGCTGTATCTTGTCTTCCTCATCAGAATCTTCCTGTTGCATAGTTTTCTTCTCTTCTAATTAATTGTTGAGGAAAAAAAATAGCAGAAGGGAAAAAAAAAAATTCAGCCAGCAGGCTTTTCATCTATACCTTGTTCTAGTTCTCTCTTTCCATCCAAAAACATATTAAGAGTAATGTTAACACGCCACAGGAGTGAGTAAAACGCTTCAATAGCCATCAAAGCAACAAACACACCCAGCACCCAGAGGTTTCTTGCTGACAGATGAGGGAAGTGAAGGTACTCCTAGTTTAATGAATGTTGCTGCTTCTGTCCACCTCAGCTGAGCCCAGAATGTGAGATTAATTCAGACTGGAAGAGACACCTGGAAGCTGCAGGGACTACCCTGGCTCTCTAGCGAGGGCATGAAGCTGTCTACTTGCTTCCTTGAGCAAGGGTCTTAAATACCTGATGCATTTCCTTCTCCTTTTAAATAAAAGGGATTTGAAGGACTTGATTTATCCTTAACTAGGCCTCTTTAGACCTGTGGTATTTACAGATGCTAGAAAGAAAGAATATTTACGAGCACACATAGAATCTGGGCAATTATGGTTGCTCTTATCAAACTCTCACAGGCTTAGATATAAAGAATGCGCTGGAGAACACATCCAGCCATAGCGGTTCCTAAACTCAGCATTTTCTCAGCAATCAACGTTCTCTTCAGTCACCAGTCAGGAATTAAAGGCAGCGGCATCGGAGCTCTCCTACACCCCACTCTCCTCTAGGTCTGGCTGCTGTGGCTTGCCTCGCTCCAAAGGCTCCGAGGAGGAGAAGGGGAAGAGAAACCTGCTCTTAAACCTTAGTGGGAAGAGGAACCTGCTCCGAAACCTTAATGCAACTTCACGTACGTTACACCAGTCAGAAACTCCCACCCTTACAACCCCGTTAGGGCTAATTCTTGCAGACCTCCGAGGGATACCTGTGGAATCTTTAAACATCCAGGTGTTATCCGGCTCCTCTGTCAAAGAAAATCTGTTTTCGAACTCCAGCCCTCTGCTCCTTCGGAGAGAGTGCGAAACAGGGACGCGACGGCGTCTCTTTTTGCTGAGCTGCACTCGAGTTTTCAGCGCGCTGGAGTCCAGAACAGTGGTTTGCTATAAAAAGAAACAAAGCCTTCGCTTTCAAGCAGCCTGAAAATGAAGTAATCCTCTCCATAATGATTTCCCAACCTACTTTAACCTCTTTAGTTTAATTAAACTATATATATTTGCCTGATTATTCTTCTCGTAGTTACTTAAAACTATATATATTAAAGAGAATTTATGATGAGGATGTGCTACACTGGCTAACCGAGTGCAATGCTGGTTCTTTGATCTCTCTTGGTTGTGGATGTCCGATTTGTATGAATTATTTTCAGCAAATTAATAAAAATACAACTGCAATAAAAGGGATCTGTTGTTAGAAACTTGCCTGTAACCATCAAGGGGAGGCGCTGTGGCACTCGACAGGCAAAGCAGTGTCCCTGAGACCTTCCTAGCAGCCACACGATCTTAAGGTGGGAATTCTGAACTTACCAGTATGTCTGTCATTCGGTATTACATATTTAAAAAAAAAAGGTGCACCAGCTCTTACTAAAGGAAAAGCAGTACTAGATGTTATACTGAAAACCTACAGTTGTGTTAGTGCTTTCAGAGAACACTAAACCTCATCCAACTGTTTGTCGCCAGAAATTACTGCTCTTATACCAGCTGCAAGATTCTCAAAGTATGAAAAAAAATCCTGTAAAATGCACTTTTAAGCTACCACAGAAAGGGACCAATTGCAAGTCAGAAAAATATGAGTAAATGTCTTTATAACCTTAAATGTGTGTGGCTTATAGCACAGCAATCACTAACGTTTTTGTGTTATTTAATTACGTTCCCAGCGCTCACAGAGCCATTTAACTCTTTTGTCTCAGCTCACTCAGGAGCAAAAAGAGAAAGAGGAGCTCTGCTAAGCCACTGGCTGGCATGGCCAGATCAACAGCTTTTTGGAATCTCTTAGAACCAAAGCATTACAGGGACTACAATTTTGTAGCTTTGCTCTTAAATGTTTTGAGCAGGAAGTTGGCTGGGAAAATTCAAGGCGATAACGAGAAGGCAGAGGAAAACAGAGTGCAAAGATTCCAGAAGATCCTGCTTTTGGTGGACAATAATCTAGTTAACAGAGGAGAACGGCTTCCCATTAGGGAAACTTACATCAATGAAAGAGAAATCCGTGGCCTTCTCCTCAGGGTAGGTCTCTCCCGGAGCAGGTAGATCAGTCCCATCAGTAGAGTCCATGTCAGTGCTGGAACGGTCCAAACTTGTGCTCCTTTGGTCTTTGGAGAAGTCATGGTGATCCACCAGGGAGGTGGGTTCCGTTTGGGAGGACAGGGAAGACGGGTGGCTGTTGGGAGGTCGCTTTCTCGTCGAGATGACATCGTTTTCCGAGGAAGGAGATTCAGACACAAAGCTGTAGATGAAAACAAAATCTATGGGGCTTCAGGAAAAACAAAACGCGTGCGAGTACCGTGTGATGGATCGGGTGTACTCAGAGCTGGACCGACAGCTACGAGCACCCAAGGCAGCTGTGGAGGCAGCAGGTAGCAGCGCCGCAGCTCTGCACCCCCGTGGGTTTACAGCGTGACGACTAAGCTAACTGTGCAGGTGAGAGCACCCAGGACCCGCAGCCCCCCGGGCGATGCTCCCTGCGTGCTCCTAGTAATCTTCCCTTTGCCCAGACCAACAGGAACAAGTCCGTGACGGCCACGGAGGCTGGGGTAGCAACCCAAGGAGCAGGAGATTGTAGGAAACACAGCTACTGCGAGTAAAACCAGGGCTCTCTTGTTTCAAATTTTGCAAGTTTCTAGGTTTAAAAACAAAACCTGAAGTATTTAAGGAATTCTGATTTTTTTTTTGTCTTCTTAACGAGAGCCTCTTGTTACTAGGCACCTCTCCTGGAGCAAGCTTCTAGGAAAAACTGTTCTAAACCCCTCAAAAATCTATCATGCATGTATCGATACATGCACATTTTTAAACAATAAACCCAAGTACCTGGTACAGTCCACAGCAATAATTTTGGGAGAAGAACACTCAGGAGCCTACAGCTGACTAACAACTTTCTGTCAAGCTGCAGTCAGCCCATGACAGGGTTCCCAGGGGTTCCAGCACACGAGTGGAGCAAATGCCTCTTCCCTCCCCGAGCAGTGGGCCCCAGGATAATTAAGGAACGGTACTAATGAGCTCTGGGGGGAAGCTTTTGTCTCGTATTTTTGCTTCAAGTGATATCTGGTATCTGCAGCATTAGGCTTTGGATCCACTGGAACACGGGGGAACGTGGAGACGAAAGACAATCCGCAGACTTATCACCTTTCATGGAAATAAAATGTTTTCTAAAAGGACCCTGATTTGCATATCGATCTCTTCCCTCTCAGAACCTAGAGCTTCAGCTAGTGCAGCTCAGAGCAGTTTTTCACACGGAAACCTTGGAGAGCAAGCAATGACAGGAACAAGAGATGACTTCACACTGGTTGGGGGTTCCTTTCTAAGGGATTCTCCTCTGGAGTTCTTGCACCAACCGCCACGGCGCAGCCAACCACCCAACGCGGCACGGGCGGCTCCAGCACAAACACCCCGTTACGCACAGAGGATTCTTTCCACCTGAGCAGCAGATTAGGGGGGAAAAATCCCTTCAGAATAATGGTCAAATACTGACATTTCAAAAGTGCTTCAAGTTCCCATTACTGAGATGTATTACGCATCTTTTCCTATTACTTCGTTAAGATCTCAAGTTTAACGAGCGCGTCCGTAAGCTACCGACACCATTCAACAGGTGTCATTTACAGACACTTGCTTCTCCGAAAAATTATCCTTCGTGTGGCACACGGTTATGAGCTGAATGGCTATCACAAATGTGCAATAAACTAAGGTCAACCTTCGCTTTCAATTGCCATTAAATACAATTACTTTCAGCGAGACAGTGCTAAGAGACCATAAAGAACATGTTGCTTTGTCACGTGAAATTAGGAGTCTAAAAAGCAAAGGAATCCTGCTCCTTACACTGCTGAAGAGTCACAACCAAAAGGCAGCTCTCAGCATTTGCCCAGGGCACCACACAAGAAATTTAAAACCACCTTTTTCTATTCTGTAACTGCTGATTCCTGTCTGTCCCAGGGAGCCAACACCCTACGGTGGATTTTCTTTTCTAGCTTCAACGATTTGAAGAAACAAATAGCTAAAGCCTTGTGAAGTCAGGGCTCTGTAGATCCTGCATCTAAAACATACAGACCCTTTTCTGAAAAAAAGAGAACTGTTTTTCACTGTAAAGACTGTTCCGATCTAAAAGTACAAATTTTCTATGATGTCAACTTGGAAAAGCTTCCTGGAGCACTTGAGAAAAAATAAAATCTTTCAGATACGCTAAGAAAATCCCAATTAATGCCTCCAGATTAAACCATCTCCTTCCATTCTCAGAGGTTATTTGCCAAAGACCGTTGCAACCGTCCAAGAGCAGCCTCTTACGCTTATCCCCACAGCGACCAAGTCCTGGCTGAAAACAGTCCCTCCTCCACCTTCCTTACCCAGGCAAAGCATTGTGTTTATCGTGTTGCCGCGTTGTCAGGTCTTTTTATTTTAAAATTCCCTTCGTCTCTCAGAGAAAACGAGTTCATTCACGGATGTGTTAATGAAACACTCCTAAAGGGGCTAAAAGACCCAAATATTGGAGAACGCCGGGACCTGGAAGTTCGTCCAGGCTCGGTCCCCGGTGAGTTCTCGGCTGGGATGGCTGGGGAGGGCTCAAATCTAAGGGAAGGGAGCCAGGCAAAACAGGAAAGCTGAATTATCAAAGTCCCCTCTCAGTTCCTGCCTCGGGGCCGAGCCCAGAAGACAACCGCAGAGCCGAGCTCCAATCACCCACAGCAAGAGGAGGAGAACGGCTGCGCTTCATGAAAAGTGAAGTGCAAACAAAATGCAGTTGCACTGTGTTCCAGGAAGATCACCATTATTATCACTTAAAAGTACATCGCTCTCATTCCTCTCCAAATGCCGGAATTAATACACCACTAACTCCGCCGTGACAAACCCTAAGTCAACTAAAGTAGAACAAGGGGCTGGCAAAATGCTGAAAAGTCACTACACTGTCACTGCTCCACTGCAAAAAATAAGAATAAACCAAGTATTTCTTAAGAGTGGAAACAAAATTCCAGGACACAGGGATTGTGATCAATACCTCGATAGCCCAGAATTTTTAGGTGGAGCTTTTATAATCAGGAAAAATGCTCCAGGTTTAAATAACAAAGAACAGGTGGCATTTGAGTGTTAAGAAACTGATTTCAGAAAATATACTGAAAATACTGAAAATATACTGAAGATGCTGAAATCAAGGTTTCTTTTACAGAAGTCTTGGGTGCCGCCGTTGGCAGGTCACTAGGCTCCCTGAACTTCCAGCCTGAAAGCTACCCTGATTTCATACGCAATAAAATATTTATAACACACACTTCTCAAGTGCAGAACACGCCAAACTTAATTGACATTAATCTCTGCTGTAAGATCTCAACAAGTATAGCATAAAAAAAAACCCCAAAAACCAGATTAAATGCCCTTTTCATACTAAACACAGCAAAGAGGATGTTGGCTTGGTGTAGATCAAGCTATAATTTAGACAACACGTGTAAATTATGAAAAACCTCCCACCTGAAGGCCAATTTAGCTAGTGCGGTTAGTGCACCCTGCCTGACCATGACCAGACACTTCCTCACCTCCCTGAAACCAGACAATTTTAGGAAAATCTTCCCCAAACTCCTCTTCTGCCCCCACCAGAGACACGTACCATGCAGGCAGGTAATCGCTTTTTAAACGTGAAGTCGTGCCTTTCTAATCGTAATTACAAACATACAAATACAAACCATGAAAAGCAGTTTTACTGCCCATGTAAACCTAGTCAAAGCCATTTGGTGTATTTACCGAGAAAAAAAAATCGTTTTCACGTTTCTTTCCTGTACCATTTTAGCCCTGAAGAGTGACACCTAACTGGAGCTTTCCTCCCCAGTCGAGCTGTTAAACCTGTTCCAGTCCAAGCGGCTTTTGGTCATCACCTACAAAAGCAGCGCCGCTGCGTCCTCACCGGAGGGTGGCGTTTAGATTTTTTAAGCAATCCCATTGCAACCTGCAGAGATGAAGGAAATATTTCCATCCCCTACCTGTCCCCAGCACGGCGCGGCTCGCTCCAGGTGCCGTACTGGCTGTCGGGCTCCTGCACCAGCGTGTCGGTGTCCTTGGCTCCTGGGGGCTGCCTGGAGAAGCACTGCTTCAGCTGGTCCTGCAAGGCAACCGAAACACGTCAGCACTCACAGCCAGGGGCTGAACAGGTCTGATTTGCAACAGCGCCGCCGGATCGACCAATTCAACTCGGTCAGTGCAAAACAGCGAATAACCTCCAAAGGTGGGGAGCGGCTCTGGAGTCGGAACAGCGATTCTCTGTCAAATCAGCACTGTTTTCCTGGGCAAATAAAGTTCTAGAGGCCAGAACTGACTCCCTGGTTTTAGTGACCCCAGATCGCTTTAATATTCTTCTTACCTCAGGTTGCACAAAATTTTTCGAAGCACCTAGACACAAAGAATTCTGCTGGGGACTATGCTTGATCAGCCCAGGCAAACAAGGGCATCATCAACACTTTTTTTTCCCTGGGTTTAATAAAAGGACCTTTTTTTTTTTTTCCCCCCACATCTCTTTCTTTGGAAGATATTCAAACCAAAAATCATTAAAAAAAAGTAAGTAAGCATAGTGCCAGACACTGGCAAGCCTTTGACAATTTGATGTATGCTGACATAAAGCCCAAACACGAGGTACACCCCCCACAAGGACAGACCACGGTGGTTTTTCTGTATCATCCTGTGACCTCTCATTTCCCGAGTGTTTTTATTTCATAGTCTGCTACTTCAGCAAGAGAAACTGCATCTACAGACCCGTCCCTCCCAGGGAAGGGAACACCACTGCTGACAGGCTCCGGCACCCAGCACTGTCACACCTGGTGTCCGGCAGTTGTACCGAGCTACGACAATACGCTGCGCACAGAGAATTAAACGTTGGCCCCTTCCGCATTCGTTATCCCGAACAAACCCGAGTGCGGCTTTCAGTGCCGTCCCAACCACTTAGGAAGGTCTCCTCTGACAACAGATTACATTGTTTTCCATCTCTCGTGCACTTTTTGGCTCTTTAAAAAAAAAAAAAAGGGACAAAAATAAAGAGATGCCACCCCCTCCCTCAAACTCACCTAGCAGAACACGCGAAATGGGATTCCTTAAGATTACTGGGGAGGGGGACGGAAGAGATTGTGCGTTTTCTTGTGTCCTTAATTTTGTAAACCTAAAGAACGCTGCCTCAGGGCTAGAAAAACATTGACGTGAGGGGCAATTCACCAATACTGATACCTGGCTACTCCAGAAGTCCTACAACACTTGTAGCTTTCCTAAGAAGTTGCTCCCTTCCCCAAGGGTAGCACCAGCCATCGCCGCCCTCCAGCCCCGGCACGCTCCCGACGTCACTGCCGAGCCAACCGAACCGCAAAAGGCTCCACCGGTTATTCCAGCTACAACACACCCTCCACTGGCAACGCTGAAGGAAACCAGGGGCTCAGCCCTGCGAGGTACAAAGAACAGAAGTTTCCTGCTTTTCAGCTGCAATTCCTACACTTCACAGACAGCTGCCTCGACAGCCAGGTGAGCGCTGCGGGAACCTGTCCTGGACTTGCTCCAACAGCCACAACCCCAGCACCCCCCGTGTTGGAAACGAGTGTTTTCCCGGCCAGGATTAAAGCACATCATCTGTACACATGGTAGATACTACTATGTGCAATTCTTCGCACTGTTTCCAGGTAGAAACACAGCACAAAAAGCTGAGAAACGGGAACGGGAGCAGCAGAAAAGCGACTTTTGTTTCAGTGTGCGGAGGAGACATTGTTTATAAAAAGGGCTGTGTTATCAGGAGTGTGATGGTTGTGAGGAGAAAACGTGCACAGCCCAGATAACACCACCGAAGCGGTGACACAAAAGAAAATTTAGATGCAAGTAGATGGCTCATCTGAAGGCTCAGCAATTCTTAATGAAATTTTACACTGCAGCCGAGCGGATTGCCATCGGATGTTCCTCAGATTCAGGCAATGTTTTACTTGATGTTACATACATATGAACTTTGCGATGTGTTTCTATAGCCAAAATGACACAATTCATGCTCAGACAGCGATCCTCTATGTTAAACCAAAGACAAGCCTGAAAAAAACCCCAACATCACTACTTCTGTAGATGTTGCAAGCTTAAACTCCATAAAACAAACTGAAAACTCTAAATATAAGGAATAAGATCCTCCAGATTCTATGAGACTACTTTGTTGTATCAAGCAATATTTTGCTTCTGGAGGAAGCTACTTATTTCAAGAGGCATTTTTCCCTGAGGACCCCTTTCAATCTGTACTTTTTAATAGGCCAAATGATTAGGTGGGGAAAAAAATAATTAAAAAGTCAATATTTTTTCAAGTCTACACGTCACTCCTTAGGCCAATCCTATTTAAAGGCTCTGGTTTCTTCCAGCTGAGGAGGACCATAGAAAATTTAATGAAGTACAGTAGGGGTCATTAAAGTTTTGGATTTTTAAACAGCAGTCAGAATTACACAAATTCTCTGAGAACTACACATAGGTAGCATTGCGGTTTACGGCTGAGATTCTTTTTGACACAAGCAACTCAAATTAGAACATTCAGACCTATCTGCATGTTCTGGCACTAACGTTTTACTTGGAACAACGGCATTAGAGGCAGAGAGCATGAATGAAGAACAACCCAGGGGTTACAAATCGAAAGCTCTGAAATACGGGACAGGTTGGGAACCCAACGCAAGACTCCCTGAGCAGGCTGGAGCAACAATTTTTGGGTCTGCAACATGAATTTATATAAAACCACCCAATTGAAGCGCCCCACCTATCGCCCACCAGCACCCGCAATGCACCCAGTGCCAGAAGGGGCACGAAATCCTGACTTAACCGACGTGTGGGGCGGAGAAGGGAACACCTTCCGTCATGTGCTGCTCCCAGACATCACCAGTTTCTGCCTCAAACTTCATTCCCTGGTCTAAATCCTAATTTGAAGTTCCCTTCTTGAGACAGGTAAAAATCATTGACCTTATTTTTCAAACGTCTACGCTCCACAGACCAAGAGATGCTGCAAAACAAAGAACTGATGCACCCGGCGCTGACTTTTGCTGCTCTCCAGAACAGCTCCGGGTTACCAGGAGCCCTCTTTCTTAGCAGACACCTACCCACTACTAAATCAACAATCTTGTGCTGATACCTGGGATGAATTCTCCTTCTTTCTCCATCCCTCAGCAGGAGAAAGCAAAAGCTGAAAGCAGCGGTGTGCAACACGTGAAGCTGGGCCAGACGCGGCCAGTTCCTCGATAACCACAATATTGCGGATGCGGTGAAAACAGGCTTTTCAAAGGAAAAGGCAATAAAGAGCGGGGTCTGCTGTCGCCTCAGCACAAAAGATAAACCCAAATTAGGAATCTTCTTATTTATAATCACTGAAAAATATCCCAAATCAAATAAATACCACTCTCAATCCAGTACTCAAATGCTACAATCCTCCATGCTTTGATCTTTAACTTTGTACTCCTTACATCAGTAGCCAGGAAAAAGAAAAAAAATCAACTTAATTTTCATATGAAATAGAGCAGCCAAGCTGTACACTCATCTGCCTCTAGTTCTTCTAAAATGAGACATGATGATTATGCTTCTTCCAGTGCTCCCTTGGAATTAAGCTGTGTTTGGCTCTAGTCCAGGGCTGATTACTCCTGCAATTTCCAGTTCCTGAAAATGATGCACACACAATATTGGTCCTACCAGTGCAAAAATTAACCGTAACTAAGAATGAATGCATATCTTTATGTGAAAAACTCTTTTGCGCTGATGTGAAATAAAGACCTGGCATATGAGGAACACCAGCTGAAAGAGATCTCATGAGTCAGAATCCGCACAGACAGTTTCAAAAATATCTTTGTTTGCAGAAGAGACCGAGACATCAGACAGTCAAAATGACACCCCACAGCTTGAAGTGCAAAAATGAAAAGTTAAAGTCTACTGTCATAAATTGAGCATTAAATTGAAATCCTGAAAACCATCCCAGTGGTTCCCCTGCAATATGCCAGGAAGATGGCAACGCACCTTATTTTATTAAAAATTTATTCTATTATTTCATAGTTGACTCTGCTTTGAGCAGGATGCTGGGCTAGATGACCTCCAGAGGTCCTTTCTAACTTAAATTATTCTAAGTAATCTAAGGATTACTACTAAACGATGTATCTTGGACCACTAACAGAATTATCAGGAACACATCACCACACTAAAACCAAGCAACCAAGAGAAACCACCCCAAAAAGGCAGCCTTGGATACTCTACAACATTTCACAACACAGATTATTTTTTGCTTCCCAAGTATCCAAATGCCAACATGGCACGTGTAACATCTGAACTTGTGGACTCCACATCCTAGGATTTCCAGAAGTACTTACTATGCGGCGAATTAGTGCTGCCCACAGGGAATAAGTCATGGTTGAAGAGCAATGCTCCGGGTACTTCCCGGGAGGATTTACCAACTCGGCGTCCAAATAAATTGCCGAAAGGAGTGCGTGCCTCGGCGCAACGTCCCAGGCAGAAGGCGGCACCTCCTGCCTCCCACCCCACCCTCCGCGCTGTGCTGACAGATAAACACTTCCAGGAATTGGACGTTTTCTTTCTGACCTCCGCGATGAGGAAAGTTAAGAGACCTC